GCACTGATGTTCTTGTAGAGCATTGTCACTGTGAACTTTATGCAACTTTTCACAAGCTTGATGCGCATTCTTCCCTTTATGGAAGTAAAAGTAAAATATGGCAAAAATGCACAGTTTGGTCTTCCATCTTCAACTTGTAAAATCTCCAAAACTTAATCGCTCAATTTTTTTTCAGAATAAAACTAGAACTGTCAGCTGTCAAATGACATAGCAATAACATAGATGCAAATGACTCTAGTACTTCCCAAAATGACCTAGTGCCACCTGTTGTGAACATGCGTCATGACTTTTCCAACAACCCAATATTTCTCACCGGCCTGGCAGTTAACAAATTTTGAAACCACTGAGCTACAGTGACTAAGCAGATCCTTGGTCATTCCTGCTCAATGTAAGATGATTTAACATCTCAGCTAGAAATTTGAAAGAATTTTTACCACATGTTAATTACTTCCAAAACTGGTCTTTTTTTCTTCTATCCCTTGAAAACACTAACAACTTTTCTCCTGGGTAGATGAGTCCTCTCATCCAATAATCACTTTTTAGGAAGAGTGTCAGTTCTGAAGGGTGGGAGAGTCATTATAAGATGACAAGCCTTTGACCTTGGAGATTAGGACAGAGACTGGATGGCTGAGGGAGGGCAGTGAGCCTTAGGAAAGGAGGAAGGCAATATGTGAGTAAATAGAGCACCTACTAAATTTAAGGACATTGAAAAGGTATCGAGGAAGGTGGGCCTAGGAATACTTTGGCAAGAAATGTCTTCCAGTCACAGATTTGTCTCTTAAGAACTGAGTGAATTGGAAAAAATAAGGTTTTTCAGTAGGTATATGGGATGAAAAGCTAATTGTTTTTGTAAACCAATAAGTATTTTTGCTAATGTGAGGTTATTAGTTAGATACACCACAAGTTACCAGAAGTTAACACCACCCATATGTCATATTTTGTTAAATTACATCTAAGTTTGCATTCTCAAGATTTTGCATTCTGAAATTTAAAAGTCTAAGTAGAATCTGGATTGTTGTATGAGATTGTGTGGTCACTAGAGGTATACACACTGCTCTGTCTTAAGAATTCACAGTAATTTAATTCTCACTTAATTTAACATCATTGGTAGCTTCTGTGACTTTAAGCGAAATGACAAAATGAAACCACTTTTACCATAGGTTAATTGATATAAACAAGAATTAAGTTCCTATGGCATCTCATCAACGTTGTAACAAAATGATGTTGAACTAAATGTTATTCAAGGACTTGCTGTAATTACAAATGAAAACTTCTCTTTTAAAGTTTCTAGAAATAATACAAAATTGTACAGATTTCAGCCTTCTAAAAAATTTGAGGTTTGCCATAATTGTCACCTCATGTGTATGAGGTGAAATGCATGAAAAGCACTTGGTGTTTATTTTATATTGATAAAGCACTATCTAACATCCTTATCTTCGTGGAGATTTATGGATATGTTATGAACTACTTTAATAACTCAAGCTGTCGTCACTAGTTATAGGTTAAAGCTTGCAGGACATTTGTCTTGTCCAAAACATCCACTGAGACATTTGGGTCACACCAAAATGTCCTTGATATTTATTTCTGTCCAAAACACCCATTGAGACATTTGATCCATGTCCAAAGGTCCTTGATAGGATTTTTAATGTATTTACCCTGTAAACCAAAAGCAAATAAAATATGGGCTTTTTTGAACCCAGGGACGTTTTCTAAATGTGTACTTAAAAAAAATTTTTTTTATTGGGTAACTGTGTTTTTCCAGGACTTGTCAGCTCCAAGTCAAGTAGTTGTTTCAATCTAGTTGCGGACGGTGCAGCACCTCAGTGGCCCATGTGGGAATTGAACCGGCCACCTTGGTGTTATCAGCACTGCTCCCTGCGCTCTAACCACCTGAGCCAACCAGCCATCCTGATGTGTACATTTTTGACAGGACCAAATGTCAAGGACCATTTAGCTTGAATCAAATATGCTTATAGATGTTTTTGATAAGATGAAATTTCAAGGACCTTTTGGCGTGGACCAAATGTCATGGGTGTCTTGGGCAGAACTAAATGTCCACTAACCTAGGTTAAGAAGCTATTTTCTTTTTCATGTACACTGAAGTGAAAACCAGGCTTTTCAAATTACTTCAAAGGTAGACATTTTAAAAATTATGTTGAAAAGATGGTGGGAGTCATTGTGGCCAGTTAACGTTCATTGATTTAGCTCTCTATGAACAAATATTTTAGAAGCAAACTCGAAAGGACAGAACTTGATAGGGATAGAACTTTTTTTCTTGTTTCCATTACTAGTATAAAATGGGTAAGGATGACATTATGGGTATGTTCTCTCATTGATAGTAGAAGCTATATAGTGTGGGTCCAATGTACAGGCACAGAACACACAGGGAGGCTATTATCTTCTTAACATTAAAAGTGACTGGATGCTTTTATTTGTTTTTATTATTTTGCCTTAGATCATATAATTTTTCAAGATCTGGTGGATTTTTAAAAGATTATTATTTGTGATTCAAATAATAATTATTTGAAATTGATTATTTCCTGTAAATGCAGTGAGAAAGTGATGCTGAATAAATGTAATCTCTTGGATTGCTTAAGGACCCATGTAGCATAAGCAAGTGTGTTAGCAAGAATGAGTTATTAAAAACATTGATTCACTAAAAGTACTAGAATATAATTGGGCTAGATCTCCAGTGCTGCTAGGTAATGATTTATGTATCCATGAAAGCTGGATACAATTTTAATGTCCTTAGGGGGAAACTATTAATTTCTGATTGATATAACACTTTAGAGAAAAGAATCAGTAGATATATTTAGGATGAAGCTTAGGAAGGAAGCAAGCTTAACTAATTTGCTCAAACTACCTCAGTGCCTTGAACATTATTTTGCTTCTGGGGTTACATTTATATATTTATATGCCTATCAACTCGCTTAGACACTAATCTCCTGGAAAAGTGGAGTTAGGTCTTAATTATCTCTGTATTTCTAGCCTAGTGTAGTTTGTAGCACATAACCTAGTTTTTCTCCATATGAAATCATGGGCCACCTGAATCAGATTCAGTTGGGGGGTTTTAATTCAGATTATCAGGACACACTTACAGATTTTCTAAATGAGAATCTCCAGAGGTGAGCTCCAATCTAAGGTGATAAGTACATGCAATGGTATTGATAAAGCAAGGATAGAAACACAGGCCTCCAGACCTTGCCCTCCATACACTTTGCTGATATGCTCATTACCTACTAGATGAACTTTTTTTTTTTCTTTTTAATTTTTTATTGGGGAACAGCCATGGTCATTGGTTACACATTGCCTTCATGCTACAATGGCATAGTTGACTCTTTTTATAAGGAAGGCGCAGCTCACAGTGGCCCATGCAGGGATCGAACTGGCAACCCTGGTGCTAACAACATGACACTCCAACCAGCTGAGCTAACCGGCCACCCCTGTTTGTTTTTGTTTTTGTTTTTGTTTTTGTTTTAGCTGAGCCATCCAGCCACCTGTTGGCAGCTCAGCTCAGGCCAGGAGTCAAACCGGCAACCCTGTTGCTCAGAACTGACACTCTTGAGCGAGTTCTTAACCAACTGAGCCACTTGGCCGTCTCACTGGCCACCCTGGATGAACTTTTATTGGGCACCTACTAAGTGTCAGCTACTCTGGATGTAAAAATAAATATATAGTTAAAAATAAATTAACAGTTAAAAGCAGAAACTGTTGAGTTAGAAAGATTTGGTTTGAATCAGCCCTACCTACTTATTCACCATATACTGGGGTTGTCGGAAAATTCATTATGCATTTTTGCAACAAAAAACAGAAAAACTACATCATGACTTTTCCGACAACCCAATAAATTTCCGCAAGTTACTTTACTTCTAAGCCTGTTTCCTCTTTTGTAAAATAGAAATATACCCGATTTCTAGAAATATTTCTAACAAGATATTTCTATTTTTGAAAAATAGAAATATATCAGATTGATGTTAGTATTAAGATAATGCCTATAAAGTGCTCTGCAAAATCCTGCAAATATAGTGTGCTCTTAATGTTAGGGTTTTCCCCCCCTTTTGTAAGTAATGAACTCACCTTCTAGGCAGGGCTGAATTTCTTGGAAAATAAGAAAAACTTGAAAATAAGGAAAATAAGAAAGATAATATAAGAATGAGATTTTGTGTTATAACAAACCACCCCAAAGCTTGGTGATGTAACTTTTACTGACTCACAATTTGGTGGGTTGGCAATTTGTTGAGACAGTTTACGTCTGGTGTAGATTGTGTCATCTGGGCACACTTGTGTGTTAGTGGTCAGCTGGCAGTCAGTGGCCTCACCCACATATTGACATGAGCCAACATGGTGAGTGGGTCATGTGTACTCAATCATCTAGTACAGGGATTGGCAAACTTTTGAGACAGAAGAGCCGTCAGGGGTCAGCAAACTGTGGCTCACGAGCCACAGGCTCTGAAGTAAAATTGAAAATGAAAATAAAGCTATTATAGTTTCATTTATAAAATTTTTAAAGGATATTAGTCACATAATGGTGAATATGTAAAAATATATTTATGGCTCTCAAATAATTTTTAAATTGTTGTGAGGGACAGGATTGGCTCTTCCAGGGGTCAGCAAACTTTTGAGACAACGTACCTAAAGAGCCGCATGTGGCTCGTGAGCCGTAGTTTGCTGACACCTGATCTAGTAAACCAGCTGGGCTCAAGCACGTGGCCACACGGTTCTCCAGGGCAGTGGGAGTCCCACGAGCAAGCACTTCTCAAGCCTCTGCTTGTGTCATGGTTACCAGGGTTTCATGATCCAAAGCAAGGCACGTGGCCAAGTCCAGATTCAATGGGTAGAGAAAGACTCCACTGCTTGGTGGGTGAAGGGATGTACTTACAGGGAAGGAAAGAATGTATGACCATTTTTGATAATCTGCCCAGAAGGAGTTTTATGGACTGCTTCCTCTGTATCACGCTTTATGCTTGGTGATTTACGTGGTATTCATTTAATCCTCACAGTTTTCCTGACGTGTGGCATTTCCATTTCAAAGATGAGAAAACTGGCCAGATAAATTAAGAGACTTGTACACATTTGGCCCAAATTGCTTCAAGTTGATGGAATGGCCTTGTAGATGCTGTCCCTTGTTGCTTAAATGATCAGATGATCAGCCCATGAGGCAGAAGGTATATCCTTTATTTAATAAACATTTTTGGTTAAAATGGAGTTCTAAATTCCAGTTTTTACTTTCCCATTTATACTGTGAGCCATTAAGTCATATACCGGGGTGCCAAAAAAATGTATACACATGACTTGTACTCATCTTTTTTTATCGGTATGTACTATTACAATTTTAATACAGTTTTTTTTCCTTTCTTAAAATGTATATACATTTTTTGGCACCCTCTGTATTTATTTGGTATAGAAAAACATTTTAAATTGTACTATTCTAACTATTCTTTAAGATTTTCCAGAAACTTACAAGTAGGTTTGTTTGTTTTGCCAGATCACCTACATAACCTGGATCTTACCGCATTTTGGACATGACTGAGCCCCTTCAATGGGCCAGGTATCACTGGCAGCGGCTGATGGGCGGTACAAACAGGGACGATGATGAGAGGCCATACAACTATTCCTCTCTCCTTACCTGCGGGGCCAAGTCCTCTCAGACCCCCAAACTGGCAGGAAAGCATCGGGTTGTTGTTCCCCACCTCCAGCCCTTCAAGGAAGAATATGACAAGTTCTCTGGAACCTACGTGAATAACCGAATACGAACAACAAAGTACACGCTTCTGAATTTTGTGCCAAGGAATTTATTTGAACAATTTCACAGGTACTTTTCTTTTTTGTAGAAAAATCTTAGTTTTTTTTGTTGTTGTTGTTGTTATTCTAGTTGATCTATAAAATCTTTCATAACATTGTATGTTACCTAAGCCTAAGACTTGTGACATAATTTATATTTGACAATCGTAGGAGAGCCTATTATGGAATGATGGCCCCTTATGTTCACACAGCACTTCATAATTGATAAGATGCTTTCTCTTGACGAGAGAAGATATCCTTATCCTCATATTATATATTAGGAAACTAAGTTTGACACTGTGGTTTAACCAGTGCCAGGCCAGTGGTAAGTAGCAGGCCAGGGGCTATATATAGCCTTGAATCGTCTCACTCTGGCTTTTGTGATCTTTCCACACTGCATTTTAATTTTAGTTTTTTCTTACTTGATAATATGGAGGAATGGAGCTCTGAAGCAAATGCAGGTGTAAGATGTTATTAGGCAAAACAACAATATAATTCAGCTTTCTTTGTTTTTATGGACACTCTCCTATGACTTTAGGCACTGAAAAAAAATGCAGGCCTAAAGGGTGCTCCTTTCCTGTGCACTTTGCTGTTTGGCAAGAGAGATAAGATGTGTGTACAAACAGTGAAAAGATATCGTAGATGTGATAAGTGTTATAAAGTGCTGCCAAGTAGGCTAGAAGCCTCAAAAAGAGAAATAATAAATGATATTAGCTAGACCAATAGAAGGGGAGTTGGCATTTGGAGTTCATTATGGAGGGTCAGTTGAGATTTTCCAGGCAGAAGTGTCATTTCAGGTGGAGGAAGGAATAAGCGTCGAAGCAGAAAGGCAGTAGCACAGGTTTGCTTGAGGTCTGGGAAGCAGTCCTTTCGTGCTCACACACTATGGGAGGCAAATTGAAGGCAGTGAGGACATGTAGGAAGATACAGTGTATGTCCTGGTGCGTTGTAATAGAGACCTGAACTTAGACCAATGTGGGAATGAAAAGAGGATAATCTATCACAGATACTATGGATTAGATATGAGGAATTAAGGGAAAACGTGATGCGTCCATGTTGAGCTGAGATGACCAGGAGGATTAACTGAAAAAGTGAAGACAGGAATAAAAGGAAGTTTGGCTGGAAGATTGTTTTGTTTTTGTAAATGTTGAGTTTGAGATGCTAATGTGAGTATAGGGATTCTCAACAGTTATTTATTTTACATATATTCTCATTATTCACTCTACATATGTTCCATATGCATTTATTGAACAGTGTTTATGTTTAAAAGTATAAATATGAATTTGTTGAATTAATGGCTTAAAACGCCACAAATGTTTTTATCTTTTAAGGAGTTTGCAATCTAGTGCACTTGATGGAATTAGAATCTGAAACTTGAAGAGTTCATGGCCAGCGGTGTAGATTTGGATGCAATTCGCATGGAAATAATTGAAGCCAAAAAAATACCAAAAAAGGTTAAGGAAGAAGTTTTCAGAGTAAAAGGAGATGAAGTTTAGGAAGAAGAAATGTGTAGATTATTTTGAAAAGTTTGATGGTTAACGGGAAAAATATGTGATAAAAATTCAGGGGGTTATGTAGCATTGAAATTTTGTTTCCTTTAAGGAAAGGAACCACTTGAATTTACCTTAGGGGCCAGTGGAGGGGTATTTAAATACAAAGGGTGTCAAAAAAATGTATATACATTTTAAGCAAGGAAAACTGTATTAAAATTGTAATGATATATACCAATAACAAAAGATGAATATAAGTCATATTTGACTTCTGCAATTACAAGAGGTGCTCAAAGTGGTTCCCGTCAGCATCTAGACACTTCTGATTACGGCGAACCACTGCTTGAGCAATGTTGACCGAAGTGTCCACTTGTATACATTTTTTTTTGGCACCCCCAGTATGTATAATAGAGAAATGAAGTGAATTCCTGAAAAAGTGGCTCTGAATAACATAAAAGCAGGACTAGAAGGCTTGGTCTTAAGGGTGAATAAATAAATAAATAAATAAATAAATAAATAAATAAATAAATAAATAAATAAATACCACAGGCTGAGGGTTGAGCCTTGTTAGAATGTAATGTTTGGACATACAGATTAGCTTCTAAAGGCAAGAAAGTTGGGTTATTTAAACATTTATTTTTATAATGCATTAACTCTGAATTTCCTGTACATTTTTTGAACTTTTCAAAAGAGAATAGTATTTCCTATTATGCTTTATATCATGTTACACAATTCGAGAGTCACACTCCAATATTTATTATTATACATTTACTATGTAATACCTCTCATTTATTAAAGTGTGCCTTAAGTTAGATGTCTACAGGAATAATAAATTTTTCGTTCAGATTTGTTAGATTTTGCTAGTTCTCTATTCCATAGCATCCAAAATCAACTAATAGGATTGTAGGAAAACATCCTAAGGTAGTTTTTGCCTCTTTTGCTTCAGGCTTTGATGTGATTTGTTAACACCTCCTTGTGTGTGTTTGGGTTGCAGAGCCGCCAATTTATATTTCCTGTTTCTAGTCGTGCTGAACTGGGTGCCTTTGGTCGAAGCCTTCCAAAAGGAAATTACGATGCTGCCTCTCGTGGTGGTCCTTACAATCATTGCCATTAAAGATGGCTTGGAAGATTACCGAAAATACAAAATTGACAAGCAGATCAACAATCTAGTAACTAAAGTTTACAGTAGGTAAGTAAAACAGGAGCTGTGCTAGGGAACACACATGTATCTTTTTAAAAATTCGCAAAATGTTGCTTTTTTTCCCCGTAGGGGTAACCAGGACCCTTTTTGTGGTGGTGATGGTGGTGTTTTCAACTAATACTTAGTAAAGACCTCTCGTGAATTTAATTTAGAAGTCATAAGAAAACAGAAGCGTATGAGCCTTTGTTAACCCAGGAGTTGATAAAGCAAAAGCTCCCTATAATTTACGTAGAAGTGAGAGAGAAAGAATTAAACTTGAGACCAGAAGAAGGAAAGGAAGCAGATCATTTTTAATCCTAGATGTTATAGTTTGGGATTAGAAGAGGATGGGATATGGAAAATATAAATGGGTATGAAAAACAAGATGCAATATGAAAAAGAGGAGCTACCTATGGAGGAAAGGGATTCTGAAAAATGGAGAAGAGTATATTCTTTTGGAGGCACAAAACTGGAGGCCGATAAAAACCCTTCCCATTGTACCAGCAGAGGGCATTCCTAACAGGAGGTCTTTTCAGAAGCATATTTGCTCTGTTGGAGACTTGTATTTCCAATATTTATGAAATAGAAAACCTGCATAGCTAAGGATAAATTATGTTAAGGTGAATTTTGAACTGTGCTACATATTATATGCCTACATTTATAAATTATACCTGCAATGCTAGTGTCCAGAGACCACTGTTTATGACACTGTGGTGTATTCCTTTAAGTCCTGTGCACATTATATGGGTGTTTTACAAAATTGAGATTGTACTGCATATATTGTTTTTATTCTGATTCTTTTAGCCTAATATTATGCCACAAACACTTCCCATTTCTTTATCCTTCAAGAAAAAAAATATTTTTTCATTTAATAGAGTTTATTAGCTTTTCCTTTATTATAAACATGAGGGAGAAAAACCACAGAAGTTGTAGCATCCTTTTCAAAGTAAAACCACAATCAATACTTGAATCTTCAAGCTCCATACTCTCTAAACCATGTTTTTGGAAGTGGTAGATTATAATTTTATATACCATTCTTTATCACATGTGTTTCTCTCCTTTAAAAATGATGGAACTTGCAGCACTCAATATAATGCGCTATATTTCTATAATGAAAGTGTTGCTTGGCCCAGAAATGTTTTGTTTATAGGCAGAATTTCCAGGAATGTATTTGAGAAGGTAAGAAAGATTTCCACATAGTTGAGAACACTGATTTTTTTTTTTAATTATATGTGGGTTTTTTTTTAAAAATTAATTTTACTGGGAACTGTGTTTTTCCAGGACCCATCAGCTCCGAGTCAAGTCATTGTTTCAGTCTAGTTGTGGAGGGCGCACCTCGGTGGCCCTTGTGGGGATCGAACCAGCAACTTTGGTGTTGTGAGCACAGCGCTTTAACCCACTGAGCTAACCGGCTGCCCGAGAACACTCATTTTTAGAAATATTCCAGGTTTAGGTGACATGATACTAATCTCCCAAAAGATTGACTATTCAACACCCTGCCCTTTAAAGCCTGAGGTAAGGGTTCCTAAGGTTTCTCTGTTTCCTTTTAAATGACAGGACTTCAGTGGGACACCTACACCCAGTTAGCATGTGGGAGAGAAGAGCTGTTTCGTGTCACCCACTTCCATATCGCCACCATCAGGGTCCAGTGCCTTTCAATTTACCGTGTTTCCCCCAAAATAAGATCTGGTCTTATATTAATTTTTGTTCCAACAATCTACATTTATTCATTTATTCATCTATAAAAATCAACATTTATTCAAACAGTCATGTCTGGCTGATGATCTTAACTCGGGCTTATGTTTGGGGTAGGGCTTATATTACAAGCATCCTGAAAAATCATGCTAGGGCTTATTTTCCAGTTAGGCCTTATTTTTTGGGAAACCCGGTATTACAAGCGAATTAACACTGCTCTTCGTAGTCTTCCTGTACCAAATCTAGAGAAAAGAAACTGAAGTGATCCAAGCAGGTATATAACACAGCCCTGCAAAGAACTATTTTTAAAAGAGAGCATTTCTTTGAAGATACACGGTATCACTCTAAAGTTTTAGTGCAGTTTTAAGCTTTGACACTTGTAGAAGTACAAATGCAACAAACTTAATGAAACATAACTGGAAAGTTCAATTGAACTTCTCCCAAACCTACTCAGCTCTACAACTTCTAAATACTAAGTCCTGAATCCTACATGGACCGAAACAAGCATTCTAAATAGTAAACTTTTTTGTTTCAGCCAATGTAAGATGAAAAGCCCGATATGAATATATTAGCTGAAACAGAATTCTACATATTAAACTTTTTGTTTCGGTCAGTGTAAGGTCAAAAGCCCAATACTGAAAATTCACAAAACTTACCAAGCCTGAGAGGAATTTCCCCAAATCTTCCGTGATGCTTTGTGAATCTAGTTGCATGGACACTTCTGCAGCAGTGCCCTGGCGGTCCCCAGCTCACTATATCAAAGCTGAAAATATGCTTCTGAAAAGACCTCCTATTAGGAATGCCCTCTGTTGTTGATGCAATGGGAAGGGTTTTTATCATCCTCTAGTTTTGTGCCGAGAAAAGAATACTCTTTTCCATTTTTCAGAATCCCTTTCCTCTATAGATAGCTCTTCTCTTTTTCATATTGCATCTTGTTTTTCATATCCATTCGTATTTTCCATATCCCATCCTCTTCTAATCCCAAATTGTAACATCTAGGATTTAAAACTATCTGCTTCCTTTCCTTCTTCTGGTCTCAAGTTTAATTCTTCCACTTTCACTTATACATAAGCTGCCTTGAACAACAAAGTATTTTTAATAGCTGCATTGTTTGTCATATGACTCTCAGGTAATTTAAATATTTCCTGTGGTTATATAATTTTGAGAATTTATGCTTCAGTGAGTATTCTTATACAAAAGTTTTGAAGACCTATGATTAATTTCACCATTATAATTAGAAATGGAATTACTAGATCAAAAAGAGGAATATATTTAAGTCCTTATTTGTGTGGCGTTTATGAAAATGAATTACAAAGTTTATAATGTTAATTCTCTTGAGTTCCCTTTTATAAGAAATGTATCTATTATGTTTTTAAGAAGTCATCCTTTAGAACAGATTTGTGAACAGATTTCTGAATCAAATATGTGAATTGCTATACAAACAAGTTTGTATGTCACCTTTTTCATTTCAGAGGTAGGAAAGGTTTATAGAATATCCTGGGGATAGTGAGTATAGTAACTTGGCCTGATGGGAATAACCAAGTAAAGGGGCGGTAATGAGAAATAAAACGTTAGAAAGGGAGTTTGAGGCCTACTCTGGAGAGCCTTCATCTTAAGGACATTGAGTTAGTCAGGGTTCTCCAGAGAAACAGAACCCAAAGGAATGAGATTTATTATACAGAATTGGCTCACGTGATTATGGAGGCTAAGAAGTCCCACCAATTGCAAGCTGGAGTTCCAGGAAGCCTGTCAGCGTGGCTTGAAGGCCTGAGAGCTGATGGTGCAGATTCCAATCCAAGTTTGAAGGCCTCAGAACCAGGAGGGCTAAGGTCAGGAAATCAGTGTCCCAGATCAGGTAGTCAGTCAAAGAGTAAAATTCAGCCTTCCTCTGCCTTTTTGTTCTATTCAGGCCCTCAACTGATTGGATGATGCCCGCCCACACTGGGAAGGGCCATTTGCTTTCTTCAGATCACCCACTCAAATACTAATTGTCCCCAGAAACACTCTCATAGACACACCCAGAAATAATGCTTAATCAGATAATCTGGGCATCCCATGGCCCACTGAAGTTGACACATGAACTTAATCATCATAGATAGAGAATCCATCTTTTGATCAGAGAAGAAATGTGGTAAAAGCTGTGCTTTAGAAATATTGGTCTCCTCATGTCATGGGAATAGCCTCTACTAACAGACTAGATGTGTCTCTACAAATCAGTCCAGGGCATGACTGGGAGTAGATGCAAAGTACAGGAAGCAATTCATGGAAGAGATATACCCAATTGAATTTGGTGAACTTTTGTGAATTTTGAGCCTTGGGGGATAAAAGTACCACTGATAGAAATAGGGAGGGTTAAATTCACCTCAGGTAGAATGAATTGGAAATCATGGCGAGACGGGCATCCAAGAGGAAATGCCCAGTGGGCAAATAGGAACACTACAGAAGGAAGGAAAGGCTAGGGAGAGAAATTTCAAAGTCATCAGTCCCTTTTAAAGTGATTTTAAACTTAGGAGTTTGACTTAAATTCCCAAAGGAGAAAATGTGAAGAGCTAAAAGACAACTTTAAGCCCCAAAGTAGGTATCTATTTCAGCCTTTGAGAAAATTTCCCAGGTTCCCTTGGACAGATGTCACTCTTCCTTATGAGATTCCAAAGCACTTGGTACGTTCCTTGGGCTGAGTTTAGTGCTCTTATATATACTCTAAATTCATAAGACAGTAATTCTAAATTTGTCAGACTCTGTTCAAGTTACCAGGTCAGAATAAAAGCTATAATTTCTAGGTTCAAAAGTCTAGTTTTATAATAAACAAGAATATTCTGAACACATGTAAAGCTCTTTTGACTGACCAAGCATTCAACCAGGTGACATAATTTTTTGTTTTGTTTTGGGACAAAAATATCTCAAAGGCCTGCTCTGAGGGTAGAATTGTCTGCAATTTTATGTGAGCACATGGTTAGGGAAGGCTTCTCTGAAGAAGTTATGTTCAAGCTGAAACCTGCAGGATTCTAAATTTTGTTCATTATTAGAATTCTTCAGTGGCTTTCTCAACATTTGCTTTAAAATAACTATAAAGAAAACAACTTTCTTTCTCCTTTGTAAGATTATGGAAGCTGTACTAGATAAGGAAAAATTAGTTCTATTTTTTTTCTTATAGTCAGGTGTAATCTAGACTCACGTCTAATTGAATAAAAAAAACTGACATATTGTATGGAAAAATGAAAATAGTAGTAAAAGCCCTTGGTTTTCATTTTAAAGTTTTAGAGCATTTACTAAAACAGTGCTATATGAATCATTTGATGACATTTAAAGCATTA